GTACTGGTATGATCCGAGAACCACTGTACCTGTGCGTTTGGTAGTACGCGGATGCGCAGTATCAGCTGCTCGTGCTCATCACTTCTCTCAGCAGTGGCACCAACATGTCTTAGTTCAGTGAACTGTTGGAGTTACTGGAGTAAAACATACTCCGGGATATTGGTTTATTTCGATTCGGGGGGACTGTCAGGCATGTCTGAAAGTGAGTAACTTTAGTAACTTGTGGATTAAGTACTGACACAAGACGCGAACTGTTTCGAATGATTCAGTCCTGTTCGACCGGTACGCTAAAAAGAACCGGTTCAAAAGAACGATTCGTTCACGAACCGGCCATCAGTCTGCAGGGAGAGATGGAGGCGGCAAGAGAAAAGGTGAAGACTGGGGAGTGGAAGCTCCACAAATAGCTACACAAATAGAAAGAGCAAAGTGTGGGAGACATTTGCCAAAATTATAAAAGATGATGACCAAAGTGCTGGCTTTGTTATGTGTACTTCTTGCGATGCTATTTACACATTTGTGTTAGACGTCTATGGCCTGATGACGCTACGATGAGCATTTACTACTTTTAAAAAATGAGGATCAGGAAGCGGGTCGGGTACAATATTTTCTTTCTTTTTTTTTTGCGGTCCGAGTTGCGGGCGGGTTAGTTGAAAACGTCGGTCGGGTGCGAGTTGTTTATACATTGACCCGCGCATCACTGATGGGGACCTATATTAACGATCTAAGCACCCAGCGCAAGTGCACTTAGGGCATGTCCGAATCCACTTTTTATAGTTTAACGATGGGAAAAATGGTCAGCGTGCCTGGCGCATGGTCTAAAAGGGTATTACAACTGGGTGCTTTTTGGGTGTAATGTGCAAAAAAGAAAAATCAATCAGAGTGTAATTACTAATTTCCCATTCCATTTAAAAGCCAGTTACGCTTGCACCTTGGCGGATTCGCTATTTGAATGGCAGAAAGACAGAATGCGCCTTCAGAGAGCAAACGGATTTGCTTGTGCGCAAGGTTAAAGGATGCACGCAGATCCTCTACTGGGACAAGCCAGATTCCATCATATCTTTATGCACACAATCATCTTTCACTAGGGGTGTCACGTTTCTCCAAATCCTCGATTCGATTATTTTTTCGATTCTAAGGTCACGGTTTGATTCGATTCTCGATTTTTATCAATCAGCCAATCGGGAAGCTCTCCGTCTTACATGCGCTTCATGAGGCACACACGCAAGGTCTCTCGCTCTCTCCCGTGCGTACAATATAAATAAAGTGTGCGCGCAGAATAAAGACCAACTGAATGACACTTTAATTAAAGTAGAAAATCTCAAATGAACATCACTGAACTCCAGCTACTTGTCTGTTTATTCAACAAAAAAAGTCAAGTTTAGTCAAGTTTGTATTTTTTTTAAATACACTTTAGTCTCATCTTTTTTCGTCAACGATACTGCACATGTTGATATACAAGTAGTCACAGTTATCGTTTAATGATGTACTGTAGGTATCGTCTCTCATCGTTGTGTCTTAGTCAGGTAAAAAAAAGTCGTCAACAAACATTTTGTCATAGTTTTCAATAACGAAATTAACACTGACACGACACAGAATGGTGTGGCAAACCATCAACACGACGCATTCATCTTCAGTCACCTATGAAATGATGCAAGTTGCACCCACATAGAAAAGTGCTGCCCCCAAATGGTGCGCACTGTTCAAAAAACAAAACAAAAAAATGGATGACGAGTCAGACAAGAAATTTAAAGGGATACTCCACCGTTTTTTCATATTAAACTGTTATCCCCTTAACTAAGAGCAGTTGATGCATACCTCTGTCGTCTCAGTGCGTGCTAGGGGTGGGGAAAAAAATCGATTCTCGATGCATCGCGATGCGGACGTGGACGATCCTGAATCGATTCACAAATGTCAAAAAATCGATTTCAAATTTTTTTTTTTTTTGATATGTATTTATAATAACGTAATATTGACGGAACGCGAAAGACGGAACTCTGAAGCGCGGAAGTGCAGTGGCGGGACCGTCTGTGGCGTGCACATAACAGAGATGAGATGGCACGCGAGATCCAAACACTTTCCTTGTTAGGTTAAAAGCTGACGTGTGGAAATATTTTGGCTTCTGAAGTTGAAGGGGGAAAGGAGCTGGACAAGAGCCGCACTAGTTGTACGCTTTGTGGAATAAAACCAACGACGGAAACACGACAAATATGATAAGCCATATGACATCTTTCCAGCCAGAGGAGGAAAAACACTCGGCTGCACCAGTCGTTATATTATTTATTTACTACAAGTATGCTCCTAGTTCAAGCACACATTTATTTTCCTGGTCGTTCTTTGTAATGTTAATAAAATATATTGTGTATTCTTTATTCTTTATGGGTCATTAATTTGTACTTTTAAAGCAAATTATTTATAGTCACACACAAAAGATTCAGATAATCGATTTGTAACATTATAAATGTCTTGTACTTTAAATTTTGATCAACTTAATTTATCCTTGATGAATAAAAGTATAGATTTCTTTTTTCTTTTGCCCAAAAAATTAAAAAAAAATTCTTACCGACTCCAAACATTTGAACGGTATTGTTTAATGTTACAAAAGCTTTCTATTTCAGATAAATGCTGTTCTTTTGAATTTCTAGGTGATTCTCTGAATCGGGTGCCCTTCAAGTACCCCAAACTTGCTTCAAATATTTTCAATTGAAGGAAATCACAAAATACATTTTAATGCTGTCAATTAATAGAACCAGGTGCATTTGCATTATAATGCAACAAAATTGCTTTTGAAAAAAAATTTAAAGTTAATAAATGTAAAGATAAAGAGTTGCCCAAGTAGTAGACAACAAGCATGTTTGCATGTCCTCACTAACCATCATTATATTTTCAATGAATATCAAACAAATAAAAAGTGCAATTAATACCAAAATGTTGCTGCTGCTAATATAATCATATGTTGATCTAGTGTATTTTCGTTTACTGTTGTGAAATGGAAAATCAATAATCGGTAATCGAGAATCGTAAATATTTGAAAATCGACTGTAATCGAATCGGGACTTCAATAATCGTAATCGAATCGGGAAATCAGACGGATTAACCACCCCTAGTGCGTGCACCCAATCACTCTGGCGCTTATCAACCAATCAAAAGAAAGAAAAGTGCTACATAATAGCCAATCAGAAAATAGCGCTATTGTATCTGGGTAAGATTTAAAGACCCCCTCCGATGAAAAAAATTGTTTTCTAGGTGTTAACATGTTCTTGTGTCATTTTTCTAATGTTAGAGGGCGTTTCTTGAGAAAAATAAGCTCAAAGTAGCATTTCTGAGTATTTCTATATTCAAATGGCTGTGAATCAGTAGCAGACGCTAAAATGCCGGCTAAAATAGACTGTTAGTTGTGACGTGTTAACTCCACTGGGTGGGGCCACAAGCTCATACTCCCCTCCCTCCATACTGATATTCCCTAACTTTTTACAAACAAGCACGTAGATAATGTATAATATACTGTAATAGTAGTTAATTCATGTATAATATTTAATAAAACACACCACAGATGCACAATATAGAAAAGAGACGGACAGGGACAATATGGAACTTTTATTTTTCATATAATGTTTTATTTTGTTATTTAATGCCTATAAATATAAAACGATATACATTCAGACGCAGTCAATAATACGAAACTAATGTATTTCATGCGAGATACCAGCGGTCAAGTGACAAAAGAACGACTCATACCCGAAGACTCGAGAGATGAACTAATCATTTCTCTTTCCGGTAACGTTACTGACAGCATAGCCTCTAGTCTATGGGACTGACAGGAAGAACGAAAGACTCGGACACGGTGGAACCCGAACTCGAGACTCGGACGCGGCCGAACCCGAACTCGAGACTCGAAATATGAACTAATCATTACTCTTTCCGGTCCTTCTGTATCACACATGGCACGGCCCAGCAGACAGATAGGAGTCAGACACTGACGAGTCGACAGCTAACGTGACATGAGAGAAGGAGAACAAACCTGATAAATATGAAGTTGCAAAGGAAAGAATGTCTCGGATCAGGGGGTGAGGTGAACTAACAGAATCAGACAGCAATAGCCTGAACTTAAGACTCAACAACTAATAAATAAATATAACATTTGAGTTGCTTATAATTTGTAAGTAAGCTAGCAGGAGAGACGGAGGAGAGCTCTCAGCAACGGGGAGGGGGAGGGTCGTCTCCGTGCCAACGGCTCCGCCCACAACCCAGAGCCGAATTGCTAATGAGCTACTGCCGCTCTGCTGAAGTGAAGTCCCATACAATGGCATAGGTTTTGTGATTTTGGCTAAAAATAGCATAATCATATTTTAAAGACCACTGGGAATGTTTATAAAATAGATCAAAATATGATTGCAGGGAAGGGGAACAACCAAAAAAAATTATATCCTCAAATTGTTCACATGATTCTGTCACTCCTGCTGCCTGTCTTCAAAACTTTAGAGCCCTGCTATATAATTGAGCATAGTACATATCAGAAAGGTATCAATCAATTGACAGCACAAATGTTTAGAGTATAGACAAGACAACCATACAAGGGTTTTTGTTACCAAGCATGCCCTAGGTACACTAATTTTCTTGTCAGTACCCTCACAGATTCCTGCAGCTAAGCATATGTACATTTATATTCCAATTATTATTGATAACAAATGTATGAATGCAAGTTAGTATCACTAAATGGAAATTCAAAAAATAATGGCAGAAACATTCCCCATCTTCCACTGGTTGAATTAAAAAAATAATGGCAGATACATTCCCCATCATCCACTGGTTGAACCAAAGTTACAATGCTGGGCTGGTCAAACAATCAGTAATTTTTTGATTGAGCCACATTGTTTAAAGGTCGGATGAATCTACAAATGGATTATTTATAGTTTTATATTCTCTACATATTAAGATGGAATATATAAGAAAATTACATCACAAGTTAAAAGGGGCTCTGTGTGCGTTTATATTTGACTCACGTTTTCGCTGTGACGTCCACATATTGTCCTGGACGGAAGTGAGCTGCATAGAGAGGAGTGCCTAGATAAAAAACAAAAAAAAATACAAAACATAAAAGCACTAACACAATGTCAAATGGTTTAAAACGCAAACATCATAAGGTAACTTTTTCACTCAAACGTGTAGTTAAAGGTATACAGCTGAAACAACTTATTCTTTATCCGGCAAGAGTAAAGAGTTCTTGGTGACTTTAATTCCAGTACAAACGGCTACGCAGAAGCAATAAAAAAGTTATATTGCTTCTATTCTACGTTATTTGTTGAGGTCAATTTGTGAAGACAGACAACACGTCTGCGCACATATTCAAACGTATACCTACAGACTAAACACGTAATACGTGTCCATAAATTTAAGCTTTGTCGGCTTTGAATTCTGGTTTGCGATCTGGTCACCAACTTATCAGCAAATTTAACAATATTTCATTAGTTATTACATATAGAAAGCTTGAATTGTCTACTTTTAAATGAAATGAAAATGAAATGTTTCTTCCTTTGGTTCGCTTTTAATTAGGTCTATTCTAATAGTGTTCTTTGCTGTGGTAAAGTAGAAAAACACTGTAGGACAGATAGCGACATTTTTACTTGCAAATCAAATTCTTTTTTTTTAACAAAGTTTGTACTTGTTATTAACCCTTATGCTGCATTAGGGACATTTTTGGTCTTTTGCAGTTTAATTTCTTTGACCATTTTGGCTGTTTTAATGCAAATGGTATGAAATTTGGCAAAATTGTGACTTTTTGGATACATGTAAAAAATGTGATCCCATTTTGCAAAATATGTATAACACACACTGTGTAGATCAAATAGCAACACTCAGCACCATAAAGACCAAAAATGGCCCATTGAAACCCATTAAAACGTTGTTTAAATCCGAGGCTGTCAGTAATACATGAAACATGATTTTTGCACAAACATCCTTTCATTTTGAAGCAAAAGCATTATATTTGCATTATATAGTGTATTCCACCAGATGACGTCACTACATATTTATTCCCTATGGGTGGAAATGCACCTTATTTTAGGCAATAGGCAATGTTTAATAGGTGGCCATTTTTGGTCTCTAACGCGCTAAGTGGGATTTTTTGCAAAGTGGGACTGTGATAATCCAAATCTAAAGTTTTCTCTTTGCATTTAGTTTATTGAAAATAATTGAATTTTTGTGTTTTTTCCTCTTATACAAATCGATGGTTTCGCAAACAAAACTGGTAATTAAAGGGTTAAAATCCTGAAATTGAATACATTTTTGGTAGTTATGATGAGGACTGATGCTGGTTAAAAGATTTAACTTGGTAAAAGTGGAAAATAATAATAATATATAATATTTTAGGCAATGTTTAATATGTGGCCATTTTTGGTCCTTAATGCACTCAACGGTGTTAAAAATCTAATGCAGCACAAGGGTTAAACATGGTGAGGCGCATCAAGATTATTTGTAAACCGTGTTTCATGTTTTAGTTTTTGCTTTCTCTTGCAGCGCAAAATCAAACAGCTTAAAATTATTGCCCGTGTGGAAGATTAAATTCCACCTTCAGACCATTTACAACAAGTAGAAAACATGAAGACATCAGAAAAGAGTTTGATGGTCTCTTTCCTGTTTGTGTCCCACATCCCTCTCAAAATGCAGAGCGGTAGGCTATATCACGGGGTCTTTGTGTGGAAATACAAAATGAAAGTTTTTTCTTAAACCACCGCAGGTAAAAAAAACTGCCACCGTCACAGCCCTAGCAGAGATAACTTTTTCCAAAATTTTTCAAGTCCTATTTCAAAGTTTGCGTTCTCAAGCCACCAGGCACTGTTGTTGTGCGAATGAGCGGGCCATATCACGTTAGGGGTTTTCTGTTAGAATGGTGTCGTGTAAGCGGCCCCTAAGTTAATGACCGATGATCTTTGCTACTGAAGTGAATCAATCAAAACTAACCTTAAAGCCAAAACAATCTCTGTTACTTTAATTTCCTATTATCACAGTAAAACTGCTTTGAAACAATCTATGTTGTTAAAAGCGGTACATAAAAGAAGGTGACTTGACTTTACCTGGTTTGATGATGCTGTTGTCTGACACACAAAATGTGGTGAGTTTCTGTTTGGGAGGAACTCCTGCATTCCGAAAAATCTCTAAATATCCCTCTGGCCTCTGAGGAAAAGACATATTGACTTTCAGTTGCTTCAAGTAATTTTCTAACTTATATAATCCTTAAAAAGGAGAAAGGGAGAAGAAAAAGGGAATACATTAAACCTAAACTGCTCTGCTGTATTTGGGGAGTTGACTGACTGCAAAGAGACTGAAGGCTCAGACTGAAGGTCAGGACAATTGACAATTACACTTCAAGCAGCACTTTGTGGCAGATGTCAAATATAGACAGATGACACACAGACACACATTGGCTTACTGACAAAAAATAAAAAAGGGACACAGAGCAAAGTTTTTTTTTTTTCCATTACAATCTCCATAGAGTTAGATTTTGTATCCATTATATTTTAGATGGTTTTTTTCCCTAACATGTGAACGTACACACACACACACACACACACACACAATGGTGACCTCTGTATCTACTACTCAGTAATTTCTCTCCAGGAGCTCTTCAGGTCTTATTATACTTCCTCTCCACAGAAACAGAACAGCTTTAGTCTATTATGTTCCAGAGAGGTCGAGGATCACGAGAAAGGTGAAGAAACAAGAGTTCGTTATGAGTGTGTGGATAAGGTCTTACTGAAAAACGTTAAAGACATTTCCAACTCACATGAAACGGAGAGACGTTTTTTCCACCCACGACCAAAGCTGCTGTGTTCCCATTATACTCTTCCTTTGATAGATGTTTCACCACATGACAGTCCTGCACCTGAGAGAGATATTTGGGTGTGTTAAAATTTATAAACAGATATATATAGAAAAATAAACAGTGATAAAAAGAAAAATCAAGTTTAAAAATGTAATTTGACAGTTAATCTCATAATCAAATAACGTTCAGCTGAATTTTAAAGGAGAACTCCGGCGTAAAAATGAACCTTTGGTCTAATAAAACTTTGGTACCTAGTTAACCATTCTCTGAGATTTGTTTTCATGATAATCAAATGTAAAGAGTTTATTCTCTAAAAACTGTTTAGTGTATAACACTAGTATATGGTGGCATTTAATAAGTAAAAAGAAATCATTAGTTAATACCACTAACAAGGCTCAAAATAGCCCCACACTAACACAGTAACATAATGAGGGTCCCTGCATGCAAAACGAAGCATTGAGAACTTTGTAAGTGTACAGACCGTTTAATGAGAAGATACTTTATAAAGACAGTCCACTTCGTGTATACAGGCAGGAGAAAGCAGTCTCGACAAGTCGAACCGCGAACGGTGTTCATACCGTACAGAAGTTCGCTGAACTTCATACAGTTCAGCTCACTTGGCACGTTGTTCGTGGTTCGACTTATTGAGACTGTTTTCCAAAGATGGCTCCTGCTGTGTACACACGAAGTGGACTCTTTATAAAGTATCTTCTTATTAAACGGTCTGTACACTGAGAAAGTTCTCAATGCTTCGTTTTGCATGTAGGGACCCTCATTATGTTACTGTGTTAGTGTGGGGCTATTTTGAGCCAGGTTAGTTGTATTAACTAGGAATTTCTTTTTACTTATTATATGCCCCCATATACTAGCGTTATACGCTAAACAGTTTTAGAGATAAAACTCTTCACATTCGATTATCATGAAAACAAGTCTCAGAGAATGGTCGACAAGGTACCAATGTTTTATTAGACCAAAGGTTCATTTTGCGCTGGAGTTCTCCTTTAAGACACTACACAGCATGACTACCAGAGAAACTTCTGATGAGTCTTAATTAACCATACTATGTAAAGTCTATGTAAAAATGATTAAAAATTATGTAAAAATAAAAACTATGTGAAAATTATTAGAATTAGAAGTATTTTCACCTACCAAAAATGGTTAAGCCTGTTATCTATACCTTGTGCTGTAGAGTGTCAATAGGAAATATCAGTTTACATTTCCTAACAAGAACTGCAGCAATAACGCTTGAAGAAACGGACCTGCAAAGCTACTTAAACTATGCGCAAGGGTGGCCACACCAAATATCGATTTAATTTAGTTAATAGAAGTTAATTAATAAATAAATTATATTTATAACATTATTTTTGAAAGCATTCTCAATTTACAGCACTTATACACAAATGCCTAAACAGTTTTCACAGTACTGTAGCTTCGTAGCTAGGTTTCTTCAAGTGTCTTGGAGACGTTGCCGCAGTTATTTTGGATTTAGTCTGCCGTTTCTTCATGAAATACCAGACGGTCTCAACGATGGTGAGTTTAAATCTCTGTGTGGAACATTTGGCTGTTGTCAGACTGCTTGTGCAAACAAAATCTCACTGGATTATTACAATTAATGTCAAAAAGGGAGTATGGAAATGTAAACTGATATTTTCTATTGAAACACTAGAGCAAAAGATATAACCTTTTTTCTTTTTAAATCCTAACAAGTCTTCTGCACAGTAATGTTTATATTAAAACACACACGCATACATATTTTACTAATTGTTTTACGTGAGGAATATGGAGTTAGAATTGTAAAAATATTCCGAATAAATAGATTAATATCCACAGAAAATGTACAGTGTTTCACAAAAATTAATAAAATTCTAAAATTAAATTAATTAATAAAATAATAAAATGAGATTTGTAAACCCAAAAATATTTACAAAAACACAAACACTACTCGGCATTTATTTTCTATTCTTTGTTTCCTGTGCATTTGTGAATTGCTTCTTGCATTAATAGATCCCTGCATGCATTTGTGGATTTTGAAACACTCCACGTCAAGACTCCACCCCCCGTCTAGCCAATCCAAAAACGGACCCATTGCTCTGACCAATTTCAATACACTTTATTTGTCCCCAAGGGGCAATTATTGAGGTCATATATAGTAACCATCCTACATTAAATAAATTACACAATGTGCACAAAATACATATTACTGAATACCTAATATATATACCTATATATATATATATATATATATAAAATCATAATTAAAATCAAGGGATGATAATCAAGGGGGCTAGAGATGTTTGAGAATTTAAAAGCTGCACCGATTTGGGAACAAAGGTTGTCTTCCTCCTTTGTGTCCTACAACATGGACAATGAAGCCGCCCCCGGCAATCATAGCCTGCTCTCGCTCCAACCAACCACGTTTTACAAAATTAACTTTTGTGGTCTTGCCCTGAAATAACTTTGATCAGATGTTTAAAATTTGGATTTCGTTAGACCATTAGACTGTGCATCAAGCCAAGCTACAGTTTTATATTTTATGAGCCTTTGAAAAGGCCAGACAAACAGCACTTGACATCTCTGTTATGGGAATGTCTTGGTGATAGGACAGATAGAATTATTCAAGATAGAACAGAAAAGCATAAATAAGTAGCTGACTAATGAATAACTTATTCAACCTTGTGATAAACGCCAGTTTGTGTTGCTGGGTTTTTATTTTTATTGTGCATGTAACTCTTGTACTTTTGTAATTCAGTTTTTGCCATGAAGATAGCCAAAGATGCTGACATGGCATTAAATTAAACTATACTGATAAGTGCGAGTTTGTTTATTAGGTGAAATTACTGTCACACAACATACTTTATACACTCACAAAACCCAAGTACATCTGCAGTGCAACATGACATCATGACTTTTGCGTAAACATACACGCCACTTTCGAGTCAGGTGGCGTGTTATCTCTACGCATTTTGAGCTATCCGCGTGCATGTCTACGCCATTAACGTCCACGTCATTCCGCGTGTCTGTACACGCAGTCAAATCTCCAGTCATAAATGCCATTAACCCCAGTGACAGTTAAGTTTAGGGATGGGGTTGAGGTAAGTCATATCTTTTTTTTACCTAGGATGGTGAGGGAACAGTCATAAATGCCATTAACCCCAGTGACGGTTAGGTTTAGGGACGGGGTTGAGGTAAGTCATATATTTATATAACGTTAAGTCAACGGCGTTCATAAACACGCTGAAAGGCGATGATGCGTCTTGATAGCACGGCAAAAATGGAAATACGAATTGGCGTGGCATACACACGCTACTTCATGAGATCAGTCTGTGCAGTGAGACTCATGCTGTTACATTTATATTTGGTTTTATACATGATATGTCGGCAAGACGAGTGTGCTTTAAAGGGCAAAACCAGCCATTGTTCAATGTCTTGCATAGTGTCTACCCCGTGTGAGACTGTCGACACTGGATGCGTTTAAGTGAATGTGCAAAATATTTGTCTTTCGTGTAAATTAGTGCAAGTGCGTGTAATTCTAGAACGGCCATCCGCTTGCTGACGGTGAATCATCGTGTTGTGCTGCACCAAGTCTAGTGTGGACAGTATCACTGATTATATAATATAATGGGTCCTATTTGCTTTTATCTTGTTTGTGTATTTGTCTACACATCTTGATGCTAGAAGTGTTTCAAAATCAACATAAGTGGGTAATGAGAACTACAAATGAATAGAAAGCGATCCACAAATTAATGCCACGCAGAGTTTTGTTTGTGATACAAAAAGCATTTGTAAAAAATATTTATTTCAAAACTCATTTTATTTAATTGCGAATTTTATACATTTTTGTGAAAATCTTTACATTTATTTGTGGCTATTAATCTATTTATTCAGAATAATGCTACAATTCTAACCCCATATTTGTGAATAGATTAATATAAGAAATAAGTGCATTACATTTACAATAATACAATTTCCCTTTCACTTAGCAATACAATGGCTTTTTAAACATGAAAACTGAGGGAAGACTTGTGTTTCTCTGTATAATTTATAATTTCATGAACTTGATACTGTTTACCTGTAGCATGGTAACCACATGTCTCTCTCCAGATTTGGTCCACACAGGCATCATTCCGAGTTTAACGGCCAAAAGACCGACTCTCCGACTCCCTAAGGACATGCAGATTACTAATCAATACAGCCACAAAAACATTTTTAACATTTAACAACATAATATCACAAATAAAATATAATGAAAACAAACATTTTATAAAATTCAACTTGAAAAAAACCCAAACAAAAATAAGTAGGCCTACATCAGTCTATGGCCTACACGAGTACAATTCTATAAAATAATCTTTAAACGTGCTTGTGCTAAAAATATTTTTGTAAGATTTTCTGGATCTATAAATAAGTCCTTAAAAGTGTGTGCGTTGTGACCTGACCCACCTTCCACCCACTCATGCCTGGGCCATGGATCATCCTTGAGGGGGTTGAGTTTGTCTGCGGTCAGTTGTTGGTATTCATCTGTGATACTCTTCTTCAGAAATGAAGCATTATCTTCTGTGAGGTGTTCATCCCACCATGTGTTCGTCCGATGCGTTCTTACACAATGAATGATAGGAGTTCTGCTGAGATAAATGGCATGATTGTAACTGTCACGCTTTTTACGTAAATATCACGCTAAAAAGTGATACTACTGACAGTGAGACTATATAATATTTTTAAACGTGATCCTACTTACCAATAACGTTAAGTTACATCTAAATAACAAGATTTGCTTTTTTCGTTTATAACTGTACCGTAATGAACTAACGTTAACGTTACCTCTGCAGGGCTGTTCCAGTTCGGCAAGCGATTACAGGCGCTCCTCTTAGCAAACCATCAGCAAGACTAATAAACCTACACGTCAACGCTGTCATTTTTATTATTTACAATATTATCATACAACACACAACAGCTCAAATTATTCAGACCGATCCCGTTATTGTAATCAACATGAAAGTCTCGTGTTTGTCCCGCAGTAGAATGTCATTCCCTCAACGTCCGGTGTTACACGGAAATATGGTCGCTTGTTTCTCCTGCTTCAAATATTGTTCCTCTAAATTAACTCCCTGAGCACTCAGTAGTGTCAGTGTCAGTCGTTTTTGTTGAAAGCAGAATAATAATTGGGTTTACAGGTCTGTTTTAATTTCTTAGAACTTACTTGCCTGTGTTTGTTGGTCTCTAAATTATCTTAGTTCCCTGAGCACTCAGTAGTGTGTTATTTTCCTTTTTGTTGAAAGCAAAATAATAATTGGGTTTACAGGTCTGTTTTAATTTCTTAGAACTTACTTGCCTGTGTTTGTTGGTCTGATCTGTTGATTTAAAACAATAACAACATAATAGCACACAACCGTTTGGTTGAGCATGCTTTTGAAAAATTATTAAGAACATAGCCTACTTAAGTTTTTTTCATAGCACCAAGTAACATCATTTTGTGTAATATGTGAAAAATTCTGCTTAGCTTGCAAAATTTGACCAAAAACAGTTCACATCATGGCTGGTGTGATTTATTTGTTTCTGACATCCAACCCTGGTTACTATAGCTACTATCATAAAATAAACCAAAATTCAAATTTTACATTTTACATTCCATTCTCTCTCAAAAATAATATTTTTTTTGAACATTTTGTCATCATTTCTACTTATCGTTAAGTTGTTCCAAACCTCTATACGTTTCTTTCTTCTGCTGAACATAAATGAAGATATTTAAAGAACCTCGCTAATTACACAACGTTGAAGGTGGCCATTGACTTCCATAGTTTTTTTGGAAGTCAATGGCCACCGTCAACTGTCTGGTTACTGACATTCTTCAAAATGTCCTCTTTTGAGGACAACCTTAGGGTGAATAAAATTATGACAACATTTCCCTATCCCAACTACAAACTATCTCTTACGAACTATCCCTTTAATAGGCCTATAGACCATTTCACAAGATGTAAACAACACTGGTCCAGAAGCACTTCCTGTTTAAGTTTGTAACGGTTTTCTTTATTTCACATGTAAAGAAAACATCTTAAAGATGTTTGTTTAACTTTTTGATTCAGTTTTAAATGTTCTGTTGGTTGTATTTTATCCCAGCTTTTATGTAAAAACTGAAACAGGAAGTGCTTCTGGACCAGTGTTGTTTACATCTTGTGAAATGGTCTATAAAATGCTTTTGGAGAATGTCATTGTTTGTCCTGCACAAGCTTGATCAAAATTAAACCATGACTAAATGCATCCAGTCCACTTGCAGTTGGAGGAAGAAAACTCTTTTTCTGCCATTTATCCAACGCTATTTGTTTTTTTTTTAGGAGAACTAGTCTAATTTAAAACCTTGGGAACTTCTAATGATAAACTGAGATTGAAGACCAACCAGCTGCTGGAGGTTGTAAAAGATTAGGGGGTGAAGGATTTTGAAGAGGATCACATGCTCTCTTACCATGGTTCTCCTAGAAACCTCCGCACCGTTGCAGATTAAGCCCTAACTAACCACAACTCAGCTGCTTCCCTGTCCCGCCAGCTGCTATCCTTCATTCTGCCAGGATCCACCCTGCCAGCTGCTTCTTCCTCTTACCTGCCAGTTACGTTTTCCTCTAACCTACCATGCGGTTTCCTCATCCACCCTGCTCCCCTCCTCATCCACTCTCATGGCTGATGTTCACAGTACCGCCCGCTGCCACTGATGTTCACATAGGGCTTTGAGGAATATTAAGTATGTATCTCCACTACAAATAGGAAAAAAAGAGGCTACAATTAGCAAGAGCTCACCAAATTTGGATCGCATTTAACAATGAGAACATGGATCGATCATGCCTTGTTACCACTGTGTAGGCTGGTGGTAGTGGTGTAATGGTGTGGGGGATGTTTTCTTGGCACACTTTAGTGCCAATTGAACATTGTTTAAATGCCACGGCCTACCTGAGCATTGTTTCTGACCATATCATCCCTTTATGTCCACCATGTACCCATCCTCTGATGGCTACATCCAGCAGGATAATGCACCATGTAGAATTAAGGCAGTTCTGAAGGCGAAAGGGTGTCAAACACAGAATTAGTATGGTGTTCCTAATAATCCTTTAGGTGAGTGTATATAAATTGTTAATGTTTAATATTTCAAAAAACATATCACAACAAAATATAACATGTCATTCATCGTATCTAACATAAATGTTAGTAAACACACACACACACACACACACACACACACACACACACACACACACACATCTCTCTCTCTCTCTCTCTATATATATATATATATATATATATATATACACACACAGTATACACACACGCACACACACATTTAATACTAACATTTATGTTAGATGCAATTAATGCCACGTTATGTTTTGTTGTTATGTTCTTTTAAATATTAAACATTCTAAGCAAATGTTTGTTTGTTTAAATCCTGGAAGCAATCCTTAGTGAATCAAAGAAAAAAGAAAAATTCATGCGAATATTCATCTTAGTAAATATTCATGTTCATTATCTAATAGATATCACCTCAGGGAATATTCATGACATTTATATTTAATGGGGGTCCTCCAGCAAAACTGTGCCCTTGTGCCCATTCAACCTCTGTCGTTAATGCTGAGAGTTGTTTTGAAAAAGAAAGCATCTGCAATGTCACTAACAAGAAATAATTATAAGAATCTCTTGATTAATGCATATAATAAAGAAGATGACCTCTCTTTTCCCTGAGATCCCCTATAATAGTCTTGTGCTGGTGATCCGAGTGTTTAATTATGATGCATGGAGTGAGCTGAAAATATTTGTGTGTGAAGAGGAGTGTGTGCATGTTTGTGTGTTTAGACTTCAAAGATTCGTCTGACTCATAAAGAGTCGATCACATCTGGGCTCCAGGGGTTTTCTGATGCCTGTTTAAGTGCATGTACATTCAAGCATCCCTAAATTTAGCAATTAGTGAATTACAGTAATGTAGCATTTAAGAAAAACTCTAGATCAATATGAGTGGATGTGAGAGTCCTGTGTGTGTTTAATGTGATGATGAGCAAGTGCATATATCTGTATCAAAACAATACGCTGAAACACAAAAGTGGGAAAAACATTTTTTATTGGGAACATGCAAAATACAGTCCTTGTTGCTGGAGTAAGCAAGCATACACACACACACACACACACACATACTCTGAACAGAAGGAAGAAGAAAAGAAAGAAATGCGTGAAAGGAAAAGAGAACTGTGTCTAATACAACACCATAAGTACACACATCTGAAAGGGACTTTATTATTATAGATTAAGAAACTCTGCAGAACCAATGTCAAGAAACCTGTAGAAAATAACAAAAACAAATAATCCCTAAATACTGTATTCACAGAATTGAGTCCATTCCACATGCTTTCCAATAAATATTCCTTCATTTATAGAGCTATATACAATACACTTAATTATGTAACATTTGTAAGTCGTAAAGGCCTCACATCAAAAATAGTTAAAAAATAAATACACTACGGTTCAAAAGTTTGGGGTCGGTGAGATTTGTATTTAATTTTTCTACTTTTATTCAGCAAAGTTACAGTATAGACATTCAAAATATTACAAAAGATTTCCATTTCAATTTAATACTCCTTTGAAATTTCTATTCACCAAATCTGAATATTAGAATGATTTCTGAAGGAAAGATCATAAGACACTGAAGATTGAAGAAATTGCTGCAGAAAATTCAGCTTTGCTATCTCAGGAATACATAACATTTATAATAAATAAATAAATAAATAAATAAATTAAAACCCCTAAAATCTACTGCCTCCAAACTTTTTGTAAGTAAATGAAATAAAGCAATTAAATAGTTGCACTCCGGATTATAGAGGACTAACAGTGTTTATACTAATTGAGCATTGGTCTGGCCAAAAACTGATAATCACTTGCCTCCTAAACTATTACGCATAGGAATATTATGCTATATTGGACTATATAGCCCTTATATAGCAGGTCCACCAAATATAAAGTAATGATATCTAGCAATAAATAAATAAATAAAATAAAAACCCATTAACGAAGTTGGAATCAGTCTGGCATCTGAATCTAAAGGAACACCGTCCACAGTTTTCGGCTTTTCTTCCATTTACAGAGTTACAGCAGATCAAAAGGTGCTAAAGGTGCACTCAGTGGTCATTCAAAAGTTTTACAAATCATTAATCGGAATTTATAAATGTTTAAAATCATCTTACAGGAGAGTGGGTCGCTTTATGAGTGCAGCCATGTTGAGATCACATGACCAGCTGACCTCTCATTTTATATTGGTAACTCCCCTGTTATCAGACACTTTCACTCATGAAACAAAATATTCATGGCTGACTGCAAATAGATTGTTCCGGCATCAGTGACTGCAGTGCAAAGAAACACATTAAAAATTTTGTTTCCTAAAGCTGCCGTCGGCAACATTTTTTTGATCATATTCAGTGAAATCGACACTACAATCATAACATACAACAACATAAGTGGTTTTAGAAAATAAAAGCAGAGCGTTTTTTGGAGTTTTTTTTTCTAACTCCACCTGGAGCGCGTTATTTGTTCTGCAAATATCCACCGCTCCCAGTTCAACGGCGCAGGGGGGTGTGAGATCAGACTGTCAATCACAGGTCACGCACACACCACCTCTCGCGCAAGTTACAGTCGAATCTGCATTTTGAAAGGTGGAGATTTACGTGATCTATTTGGGTTCAAGTTGGATGCAGAGGTTGCAAGTTCGTTAGCTTTGTTTGCACTAAAATCCATGTGAACGTGACGTTAGGTGTATAAACATGTCCAGATGAAGGAATAAAGTTCAGCTTTTTGGAAGAATGTTGATGGATGCTGATGAGACGGGCGCGTTCGCAGTAAAGCTGGTGCACACTCACGGGCGAGCACGAACTCTGTGGGAGCCTCCTGGGAGGGTATTCGTTGATAGTGGGGAGGGGCATGAGAGTTGTAAACATTCAAAATGTTGCCTAAGTCCACTCAATCTGCCAGATTTGCCGACTGCAGCTAACCTTAAATTGTGTTCATATTCATTAAACTAACGAGAAATCATAAAAAACTCACGTCAAAGCACCTGAACAAATGTATACTGTATTTAGTGTATGTATTATATTTATTATTTTCAGTAGCTATCATAAATCTCTGCCCAAACAGCTTTGAAATACATAACCCTCTTTCTTGTTTATTTAATTTGAACATAAAAGTCGATAACGACTGTTTCTTGTAACTTTTACCTCTGTAAAAATAAATAAATAAATAAATAAATATTGGCAACAACTAGGTAGTGATGTTCATAGCTATACACTCAAGATTATGTAATTGCTAAATTCGACAAATTTGGACAGTCAGGCTAAACGTGTGTTATAGGAATATAGGGCTTTTTTGTCAGGGGAGAATTTTTGTTTTTGTAATTACAACTTTAATCTTGGATTATTCCTGACCCTGCTTTGGTGTAAAATAAATGGAGTCGACTCTGAGAAACCTGGAATTTAAAGGGGGGTTTGATTGCGATTGCACTTTTCTGATTTTAAATAGTGTGTAATGTTGCTGTTGGTGCATGAACAGTATCTGCAAAGTTGCAGCGCTGAAAGATCAGTGTAAGCAGAGGTATCATCTTTTAAAAATTAGAAAGTTTAATGCCTACAAAAACGACTCGATTGGGACTACAGTTGGGTTTTAGATGTCACTAACCCACACATTTACATCAACCCCTCCCTCCGGAATATGCAAAAAAGAGCATGACCATATTTCTGCGGCTAGTCGAGTGTGTTGTTTTCACCCAGCTGTCAGGTCTTCTGTGTTTGAGCTTCCCACGAACGCTGTACTTTGTCAAAAATTTCATTAAAAAAAAATTTAAATACAATTTATGTTTGATTATGTTCCTGAAAAGGACGATCGTAATTTAGCTCTCTGTGCTGCGCATTTTACGGGAGACAGCTTCCAGAATCTCCACGAATTCAACACCGGATTCAACAAGAAACTGTTACTAAAACATGAAACAGTTCCAGCTTTAAAACCAGAGGCAGCAGTTGTTGGGCCACAACGTGTAAGTAGGCTAAGACTTAATCATTTTAAATGTATTTGCATGTATATTTCCAGACGTAGCCTTGTGTTTTATTTTTTTCAAATGCCAGCGCTGGCTTTATAGCCACTAGGCTACTAATTATGCTATTTTGTGTCTATGACAAACATGTACAAACATTATGGACCTGAATTTTGTATAAGTACTAATGTTGTAAATGTATTTTTCATGAATATATGCTTTATGACGTTATTTTCGATTTGATCAAGAACGTAAACTAATGCCAACGCTGTTTGAGTATAACATTAGTAGCCAGTCAGTTGCCATTGTTGCCAGTCAGATGCTATTGTGTAAAACAAACGTGTATAAAGTTAAAAAATTTCGCAAATTATCATTCAGAAACGTTTAGTTAGAGCCGTGTGTGGTGAGGTTCTGCTTGACTCTCTTCATCGCTGCTTTTCTCGGTCTGATTCTGCCTCAAACTGATACTGCAGCGCATGCACTTTTCGCCCGTAAAGGTAATGGGCGTTAATCTTCCGGACTACGTGAGCGACAGTTTAGCCAATCACAACACACCGGCCCAAACTAACCAATCTGAGCCCACTGCCTGTTTCTGAGGGAGTGGTTTCATAGACTCAGGAAGTCAACCAGTCGTTCAGAGGACAGAGGAGAGCACGGCTTACAACAAGGTGAAGTTTATGAAAAATAAGACTTTTTAAAAAAGAAAAACCACGAATACATGTTATATTGCACCCCATAAACACAATCATGCAAAAAAAAAAAAAAAAAAAAAGCAGTAAACCCCCTTCCCTTTAAAACCCCTCAATAACATGTAGGTCAGAACTTAATTGTATTCATTGGGAATTGATTGGATCAATGGAGTTTGCAAATTGCTGTGATCACATGTGAGTGAAAGTTTGCTGTAAGAGAGGTATTCATAGAAGAGATGTTTTGGCGGTAGGGAAGGGAAATTAAGAGGGCACGTGAATTAAAAAATGATGTGCACAAATAAATCGTTTAGAGTAAACATGACAATGTTCCATAACAAAAAACAAAACAAGAACTGTCGACTTTGATTTCATGGTGACTTGAAGTCCTAGACAACTGCCATATTCGCCGGGCAAACCAAAGAAAAAAAAAAGACTGAGTGAACCTTTAATTTCACTAACATCTGCCTAAGAAGAACTGAACAGTAGTGGACATTTTTGCCCAATGCTATTGAAAACCTGAGTGAAATAAACAACAACAACAACAACAAAGATGGACCTGCTTGTGGATACCTATACTGATGCAGCAAGCTCTGAAATGATCAATGTCGATATCTTGAAGCTGAGACTCTGTCGCTGCTCATATGGCTGTGCGTAGCTCAGGGACTGAATGCCCTGGAAGACTCATAGTCCGACAGGCATTTGGGCTTGATGCCTTTACCATTGTAGTAATCCACCACTTGATTGGGAACCTCAGCCAGCACACTTTTAGCCAGCGCTGCAGGAGAGGCCTGTGTGGAACAAAAGACAATTGGCAAGGATGAGAGAAACAAATATAGATGAAATCTCACACTTTCTTGTGCTTGAGTAAGTGATACAGGAAAGGTGTCACTCCTCTTTCTCTCTGTCTGCAAAACAGGTGGAGACAGACCGATGAAACACAGCAGGACAGAACTAAAAATAAATGCGCACACACACACACACACTGTTTCTCGCTGAAGCATTCGTATCGGACAGCCAACTTCACACCTCCAGAGCTGCGCTATATTTATGAATTGTGTGATATTGCAGAAGTTGACCTGAGGTAGCAAGTTTCCTCACAGCAGTTCTCTTGACTGCGGAGAAAAGCAAAACAAAACCCTTCTCTGGAGTTTAGTGCACAAGAAGCCTTGTACCAAAGGTTCAACAAATCAAATGAAAAACCTACCTGAAGATTTAAAAACACAACTACACCTCCAGACACATAAAAACTAAAAAAATACAGCATAATCATCAAATAATCTGAAGAATCGAACAAGAGGTTTTTGCCAAAAACTTGCCATTGGCCACACTGCAAGGTTGTGGGTGTTACGGTCGTGTGGTACTGGAAGCACAAGGAGATGAGGGATAACAGGAAAAAGGATCTGCAATAAACAAAACTTAGGTACCACAATCTCACACTTTACATAATCGAGAACGGACCAGGAGTGAGGAGAACACAGGTGCTGCGTCCCAATTCGCTTACTTATACTACGCCAAAAGTATCTACTCCTTTTGTGAATAAAAAGTACATACTTTTGAGTGTGTAGCAAAACAGTATAGGCAAGCTTTGGGACATACCATCACGTCATCTTTATCGGACAGCTCTGTCGCGTGCAGCGTGCATCCTGTCACTGTAAACTGCCCTGTCAATCATCTTGTCACAGTTAAAATCCTCCATTCTATCTAATTTAATTTCCTACCGTTTCGGAGCACGTTCATCTGCCAGTAGTGTCTTTCATGCGGAGACTCTCCTCGTGTTTGCAATTTGAATATAATGATGCATTTAAAAAGTAACGGCTAAACGTATCTTTACAAAAGTTCACAATGCTTCTGCATATGCAATATAATGTGGACAACATTGAATAAATTCATTTGTCAGGTTAGATACTGATAATTAATCACTCAAAGCTCTTTATCTAAACCTCAGCCGCGGGACCAGTGCGGGATTCGCGCGTCCTCCGTCTGTAGTTTTTTTTTAAAACACTTTTTACTTGTGACGCAGCGAGGGTTTAAATACACTAGAACAGACAATGGGGAACAAGGCACAGCTGGGGCAAATTAACCTAACACAGGTGAAGGGACTGAATACAAACGAGGAGCGGGAAAATAGAAACAGGACTGAACCAAATACACAAAGAATGGGGGACCACAGGACACACATGTAACATTACGCCCCCTCCCGAAAAGGCGTGACCTCGTGCCATAGAACTTCAATGGGGTGGGCGCCCTGGAGGCTGACCAGGGCAAGGCCTATCCAGAGCGCTGAGGGCGTGACCAGGGCGGAGCAGGCTGAGGGCGTGACCAGGGCGGAGCAGGATGTGGGCGTGGCAGAGCAGGCTGAGGGCGTGACCAGGGCGGAGCAGGACGTGGACGTGGCCAGGGCAGAGCAGGATGTGGACATGGTGGAGCAGGCTGAGGGCGTGGCTAGGGAGGAGCAGGCTGAGGCCGTTGCCAGGATGGTGAAGACCCTATAGGCGGCCACGGCGGTGAAGACCCTTCAGACGACCACGGCGGTGAGGACCCTTCAGGCCGGCCGTGGCTGTGAAGACCCCTCGGGCGGCCGTGGCAGAGAGGATCCCTCGGACGGCCGTGGCTGGGACATTGCCCCCCCCCCCTCGTCTCGGGACGAGACTCTGGCGGGGCTGTCTCGGCGGGGCGAGACTCTGGCTGGACGGTCTCTGGCTCGTCGTGGCTGACGCGAAGCTCTGGCTCGCCGGGGCTGATGTGAAGCTCTGGCTCGTCGGGGCTGACGTGAATCACTGTGCTGGATGGGACCAGTGGTGAAGGCTCGGGATCTGTGCTGGGCGGGACCAGCGGCGAAGGCTCTGGAGGGATCTCGATGGGACGAGGCTTTGGAGGGACAGTGGTCTCGATGGAACGGGACTCTGGCTGTACAGTCACGGTGGGGCGTGACACTGGAATGATGGCCCACTTGGCAGCACGTATAGACATCAGCAGGGTTTCGGACATGCTTCGGAAATCAGCCCTGGATGGCCATAAAGGGATCTGGTGTCTGACCTGACAGATGGCTCAAGTACGGCTTTCAGGTTCTCAGGCTGGGCGGGCGAGATGTGCACTGGCTCTGGGTGGGTGGTTTCCTCTCCGTGGGTGTCGCAGGGCCCAACGGTAAATGGCAACCCATTATGGAGAAGCACCTACTCGACAAAAGTCTCAAAGTTCTCTCGAGGTCCCACACCGGGCAGGCATGCCTTTGTCTCAGCATTGAGGCCAGAATGGAAGAAAACATTCATTGAGCGATCTGGAAAAGAGCTAAGGCACGCCAGGTCGAGATAAGCCGCGGTGTGGGCCTCAAGAGATTGCTGGCCTTGTTCCAGCAAAATCAGCTGCATTGTGGCATCCGTAGTTGGTTGTGGTCCGTTCTTCTGTTACGGTCGTGTGGTACTGGAAGCACGAGGAGACGAGGGATAACACGAAAAAGGATCTTTAATAAACAAAACTTAGGTACCACAATCTCACACTTTACATAAACGAGAACGGACCAGGAGTGAGGAGAACACAGGGTTTAAATTGCCAGCAGCCATATCACCCTGTAGCCCAAGACTGGTTGCCCACTAAAGCTAAGCAGGACTGAGCCTGGTTAGTACCTGGATGGGAGACCTTCTGAGAAAGCCAGGTTGCTGCTGGAAGAGGTGTTAGTGAGGCCAGCAGGGGGTGCTCACCCTGTGGTCTGTGTGGGTCCTAATGCCCCAGTATAGTAATGGGGATACTATACTGTCAAAGAGCACAGTCCTTCGGATGAGACGTTAAGGTCCTGACTCTCTGTGGGCATTAAAAATCCCAGGTTGTCTTTCGAAAGAGTAGGGGTGTAACCCCGGCATCCTGGCCAAATTTGCCCAGTGGCCTCTGTCCATCATGGCCTCCTAATCATCCCCATCTATACCAATTGGCTTCATCACTGTCTCCTCTCCACCAGTAAGCTGGTGTGTGGTGAGTGTTCTGTCGCACTATGGCTGCCGTCGCATCATCCAGGTGGATGCTGCACACTGGTGGTGGTTGAGGAGATTCCACTCTCTATGTAAAGCGCTTTGAGTGCCGAGAAAAGCGCTATATAAATGTAATGAATTATTATTATTATTATTAAATACACTAGAACAGACAAGGGGATCAAGGCACAGCTGGGGCAAATTAACCTAACACAAGTGAAGGGACTGAATACAAACGAGGAGTGGGAAAATAGAAACAGGACTGAACCAAATACACAAAGAATGGGGGACCACAGGACACACATGTAACAGTGGGAGGGACAACTCAAAATATTGGAGAAAAATACCAACTTTTTGATGCCACAGACACCCACAATCCCTAAAATATAAACGCATGAATATATCTTCAGTATAAAAATTTTATAATTATGTAAAATAATAATAATTTAGAATAAAACAAATAACTCGAAAAGCATGGACTATATGAGAGAAATTTAGCAATTCAAACAATAATAAATAAAAGCAGGTAAGTGTTGTGAAAATGCATGATCTGTGTGTGCCATGTATAATTATGCGCTATTAGTTTATTTAAGCAATAATCTAATGTAACTGTATTAAAATGAATTCTGAATTGCCAATGCGATCCATTTTAGGATCAAATATAACAACTGAATAATAACTTTATGACATAAATAAATAAAATTACACCTTCATTAATGATATACCAGACTTTTGAGATCAATTTGTCTAATTTTTATTCACATAGGCTTTATATAAATAAATAAAAAAAATATTGAATGGCATAAAAAAACAAAACTGAACGTTGCATGAACCAAACTTCAGAGGCAAAGATATTGCTGAGTAAAAGCAGCAAAGAATACGCCTAACTTCACTTAAAGAAAAGTTTTCATAATGAAGACTGTTCTACATGAACGATTTCTCACTCCTTAATTAAGCTAAACAGGGCGGCAAAATCATTGAGCTTTGAAGTTTCCCTTCCCTGTGTTCCAGCGTCGAGATGCTTGTTATTGGAGCTCAGACAGACAGCTGTGAGAGCAACGCACTGACCTGAGAGAAGAGAGAGATGAAAAGAAACCAGGATGCCTTCAGATGTACGGCATCCTCTTGTAGTTTGGTTTCCTGACTATGCCCTGACCGGAGGTACCATACAGTTTTTTAAATAAGAAAACCTGGCATGAATCACGTTTTCATTAGACACATCCGTCCATACGCTTACATTTACAAGGCATCCAGTAAAACCTTTAGGCTTTGCTTTCTATATGGTTGGGCCATATCCTGACAGGATTCTTTTAATGCGATTTCAATTCATAAACAGATTTGTGCAGAAACATTCTGTTATTCCAACATGAGTGTGAGTAAATAATGACAGAATTTATTGAATGAAGTATTCATTTTGGATACTGCTGTTTTATACTCACATGTTTGAAGTTGCGGAATGGCACAAATTGCACAATGTCCCTCAGGACGGGTTCTCCTTTAGGAGAGCGGAGGATTCCATCATCACCGTCCAGCATCTGCATGTCGCTGAAATCCGCACTGCCTATGCCGACGATGATGACGGACATGGGCAGGTGGGAGGCGTGAACGATGGCCTCTCGTGTATCTGCCATGTCTGTGATTACTCCATCCGTCAGGATTAGCAGTATAAAGTATTCCTGATGAACAGAGAATATAATAAATGAATAAAGTGATGAATAAAAATGTGAGAGAACATTTAGAAATTGACACAAATATGATCACCAGGTGTGTGTCTATCTTGCGCTCAAAGCCAAATTAGAAATTAAGAAATTAAATTACTCTAAACTAATTTTCAGCATACTGTATACGGCACTAAATTAGCCAATGGGGCATTATTTTATCAATAATAAAATGAAATTATAAAGTATCTTCTGAGAACAAGCCCTAACTTCGAATGCAGTGGCAGTTTGCTTCTCAAAAAATGTATATACACAAGTTTCCGGGGGGTGCTCCTGTAAAAAATAAAGTGGGTGAAACTTCCGGCAAGGCGGCAGAAGTAGCATTCCAATGGTATTTTCAGGGGGGTAATCCATCGACCGGAAGTTGAAGCCTCGCGGGAGCTGCCATCTTGTAGCAGAACTTCACTTGTGTTAGCATTCCCATTGACTCCCATTCATTTTGGCGTCACTTTGACAGCGAATAACTTTACATCTGAGGCGTTTGAAGACCCCATTTGTCCTTTATTTATTTCTAAAGAAACACGACAATGTACAGTATAAAAGGCTCCATTACCTTGTAGCTTATGTTATGGCCCCGAGGAAGCAGTTTTAGTGAAAGTAGGCTAACGACTGCGTCATACCCATGCGACGCTCTGTCGCACAGTAGAGAGATTATCATATGGACAGGAGGAGAACGTTTGAAGACCCCATTTGTCCTTTATTTATTTCTAAAGAAACACGACAATGTATAAAAGGCTCCAGTACCTTGTAGCTTATGTTATGGCCCCCTAGAAGCAGTTTTAGTGAAAGTAGGCTAACGATTGCATCATACCCACGCGACTCTCTGTTGCACAGTAGAGAGATTATCGTATGGACAGGAGGAGAAGCTTGCACGCAATCGGGGAAACGTGGAGACAAAATGACAAAATAATTAATCAGAATACCTAGCAAAAATGTCTTCTGCTCCTCGCTCATGGACAGCTCCTACTCACACTCTCCGCCTCTGCATTTTTCGGAAGGGAATGATTCAGATTTCCCATGCCACAGCACTAGAAGACAGACGGTTGCTCTAGTCACATCTACGTCGTCAAGCTCTGTTTGAGTCTGCGCGTCAGAGACGGAAGTGCTAAAAATAAAAAATAAAAAAAAATCGCCAAAAACGGGCTTCAATCGTCTCAATGGAATTCCAATGAGATGGCTCCATCCATTTCTTTTACTGTCTATGGGTATTTTGTGTGTTAGTTAGCGAAGAGGCTAGCTGTTTTTCTGAGAATTATTTTACTATTTAAAGACGCAAATCTTTATGAGAGATGTCGTTACGGAGCTCAGGGACAACATGTTCTGTTCGCGGTTGTACGTATAACCGGACTAAACTAATTCAGTGGCTTAAACGTGATTGTTTTGAACATAAGCTGAAAACGAGATCACACAGTGATCCTACCAACGACTGTAGTTTCCATCACCTCCCAAAAGACGACGAATCTTCCTGTGTACATTTGTTTAAATTCTTAATATTCTATAAACTCTCTTAGCATGTGATTGGCTGTTAGCTACTGATGTTACACCTAAACTCAGGATCAAAGCCTGAGTTGACAATACCAAATGTGCCAGTTAATGTATTCAAGTAGCACATTCATTTATAATTTTGAATAAACTCCAAAGCACAATGACTAAGTTTGTATTTTTTATTTTAATTGTTTGTCAGCTCACACGACTGTCTGTCACCATGCCTTGATAAGTATTGATAATATGTTATTATAATACTCCCAACCAACTACTGCGGAGGGTAAAGGTACTGTTATTTCACCCTTTTTAATTTTGCTGAGGTTGTGTTCCCACATCGTTAGCTAGTTTGGATCGCTATAACTTGAATGACTGTCAACTGTTGAATAAACGAGTGTCAAGCATGTCAAGTCCATGGTCAAGTCGCGCTTTGTTTACTTCGAACCGGAAGATGCGCCCACTTTTCACGCAAGGCCTCATGGGGCGCAGTGTTGGGAGTAACGCATTACAAAAGTAATACATTACAGTAACATATTACTTTTTGCTGTAACACAGTAGTGTAAGGCATTACTAATCAATTTTCAGTAATATTTTAGTCGTTACATGTTCAGTGAGGCTTGTATTACAGTGTATTGTCTGCTTTTACTTCTTAAAGGCAACAGAGATATGTGAAAGTTTTAAAGCAGTCTTTTAGTGCCAGTTCAGAGCGGTCGCGTCTGTAACATTGTTTTTTCCTCATAAATGCGAACACGAAAACTAAAATAAAATGAATATTTTAAGTTCTATGGAGACTGGAGAGCCAACCCTTCCTCATCCGATTTGCGCAGTGTAATTAACAGAATTACAAAAAATATATTTTGCCTCCTATTTTTTTGTCACGCATGAATGTGTGTCTTTTCCCTAATATTAAAAATAAAACATAGACTGATATTTGTCTAATGTCTGGAGTCCTTTAAGGAAATAGCCTATATACGTTTCAATACATGTATTTTCTGAGAATTTTTATTTCAAGTTTTGACTGCAAATGTCATCATGTCCATAATGCTGGACCCAATTAAATAATTTATCCTCAACTAGTTTTGTGGTGTAGGTCTACGTATTTTATAATGTTAACTTCAAATAATACTAATAGCCTAATTTAAAGATAAGGCAGCATTGGATATGGAGGGTAAGGAGAATAACGCTGGAGTTGGAAGAGGTGTGTCGCGATTCTGTAGGTTCGTTGATCTGAGTCGTGTGGCGAATCGCGATTTCGGTTTCATATTGCATATCGTTACAGCCCCAAAGTTAAGTTCTACTTACATATTTTGGTGAAAGTAACTCAAAAGTAATACATGCATTATGTAATGTAACGCATTACAATTCTGAGACAGTAATATTGTAAGGTAATGAATTACTTTTAAATAACAGTAACAAGTAATACCTAATGTATTACAGTTTGGAAGTAACTTGCACAACACTGATGGGGCGTAGGAAACTTGTGGATAGTTTTTTAAAACAAGGATGTTTTAAAATTTTACAAGAAAGTGAGACAAAAATTCTGATAAACTGATAATGTTGATGCTTTATGTACATGTGAGAGTACGCTCACACACACACACACACACACACATCAGCAACTTTGGTTGTTTTTACAAGGCGGCAACAGCAGTAAAGCAGATGGTGTCAATACGGTGCTGAGCAGAAATTAATCTCTTCAGTCCAATAAAGTGTGTTCTCTCTCTCTCTCTCTCTCTCTCTCTCTCTCTGAGCGGAAGTTGAGTGGATGCGAGACTGGAGCGTGCCTGTTTTTTGCGTGAGTGTTTTTCTGTCTTTCTCTCTCTTTTTCTTTATTTTGAGTTTGTTTAAGGTTTTGTTGTCGTTAGTGGTGTGTTTTATTTGGGTTAGTTTGTTGGTGACGGCGGCGACCGGTGAAACCGGGAGTCATGCCGGCTCGAGGTGTGGGAGTTTTGGGGCTGGAAACGCTCGCGCGTCAACATGCTTTTAAACTTTGCCCAACCGTAGACTGTTCTGTGGAGGATTGCGCCCTGGCAGTCGGAGGAGTTATTGGTTATGAAAGCATTAAATCCGCGTCTAGGATGAACAACGGAGTTGTGATTTTTGTTGATAGTTTTGACAAAGTAGCAACAATTGTTGAACAAGGTGTAACGGTTAAAGACAGCTATTGGTTCAAGCGGTGCCGCTCGTTAATCCAGCAAAGAAGATCATTTTGTCGCAAGTCCCTCCGTTCATTAGTAACGAAATGTTAGAGAGGGAACTGTCGAGACATGGGCAGCTGATGTCACCGATCAAAACAATTGGACTTGGCTATAAATCTCCGCATTTGAGACATGTTGTTTCTTTTAGAAGGCAGGTTTTTATGATTCTAAAAAACAACAATGAAGAATTAAATCTAGTGTTTAAGTTCAGAGTAGATGATTACGACTACAATGTTTATGTGACGTCAGAGAAAATGAAATGTTTTGGATGTGGAATGGAGGGTCACCTCATACGATCGTGTCCATAAAAATCCCCTGCTGAAATAAATAATAAGACCATAGTGGGTGAGTCAAGAACATTTCAGAGACAAAAACAAAATGAATTAAATGAATTTCAGGGACAAAAATTGAGCAAAAACAAACAAGTTACAAGGACAAAAACAGAATGGAGGAAATTAATCTCAATGTAAATTAAATGAAAATCAGGGACAAAAACTGAGTGAAGCAAATGAAATTCAGGAACAAAGACTCAATCAGATGAAACTCAGGGGAAAAAAAACTGACTGGATTAAAACGTTCCCAGGGGCAAAAAAGGATTGAATCAGAAGGAATAAAATTGAACAAGTCACATAAAGTACAGAAGCTTGAACAAAATAAAGGGCCAACACAGAAAAAGGATGAGATATTTCAGGTTCCCTCTCCAGTTGAGAGGTGGCCAGTAATCGCACTCAGAAAGAAGTAGTTTTTCCTTTGGCTGAAGAAGGTGAGATGCAAGTTGATGACAAATCTGAAGATAATGTTAAGAAAAGGAAAGCTAGGGATGAGTTTCAAATCTCTGGAAAAATGGGGAAATTGCCTCTTCATGGTTGTTCTCAGGCTTTTTATAGTGATGCTGAGGTAGGCTTTGATGCTGACTCTATAGTTTCCTCACAGTCCTTGCCCCTGGAAGGAAGTGGATACTCTATGTTGAGTATTAAAAAATTTGAAATTTTTTATTTCTAGAAATGTTAAACTTTTCTAGAAATGGGGCTAGAAATGTTAAACTTGAGTGTGCATTTCCTGATCTACAACTTTTTGTTGATTCAGTTAAGAATTATCAAAATGAAAGTGCTGGAGAGAAAGTGTTTACTGATCAAGAATTTTATCGCCTAAAGAAACTTGTTTTGAAAGCTAAAAGACAGCTAGAAGATGACGAATATGTTTAGCTTTTCAAATTAGTTTTTTCTTTGTTTTTCTTTTGTTTTTCTTTTTTCCTTTTTTATGAGTGAGTTAAAGATAGGCAGTCTGAATTCGAATGGAGCAAGAGACGAAAGAAAAAGAGCTTCATTTTTCAGATTGTGCTCCCTCAAAAAATTGGATGTTATCTTTGTACAAGAGACACATAGTACTTTTGATAACGAAGTTGATTGGAAGAGAGAATGGGAGGGTGATGTTTTTCTAAGTCACAAAACCAGTAATAGTTGTGGAGTGGGTGTTCTTTTTTCAAAAAGTTTTAATTCTCAAGCTGTTGAGTGTGAAGAAATTATTAAAGGTCGTTTGTTAAAAGTGAGAGTAATATATGAAAATGTCACATAGAACGCTATATGACAAAACGGCACTATACTACGCACATGGCACCCTTTATCGTTAATATAACACGCGAACCCAAGACGTTATAAATCCTTTAGCGTGAATATGATACGCACACCCTATCCCACACCTAAACTTAGCCCTCACAGCGCGTGTTATATTGACGATAACGGGTGCCATGTGCGTAGTATAGCGCCGTTTTGTCATATAGCGTTCTATATGACGTTAAAGGATGAGAATGCATTAATGTACAACTTCTCGTGCCCGCCTGATCCAACTGGTCGAGACTCATGAGTTACATGATGTGTGGAGAGGGTTACATGAGAATCAAAGTCAGTACACCTGGACTCATTGTAAAGACAATTTATTGTCTATGGCCAGACTTGATCGTTTTTATTGTTTTAAACATCATTCAAATGTTGTAAAAAAACTGCTCACTCGTTGTGGTTTGTCTTTTTCTGAAGTGTGTAAAGCCTAGTAGTGCCTATTGTCATTTTAATACAGCTTTACTAGAAGATAATAATTTTAAAGAAGTTTTTGCATCTTTTTGGAAAAACCATCAAAATAAAAAAATGAGTTTATTTCTTTGCAACAATGGAGGGACTTTGGAAAAGTTCAAACTAAACAGCTGTGTCAGCAATACAATCATAATGTTACCAAAGTCCTATTGAAATCAGTGAAAGCTCTGGAGTCAGAAATAGAAGAGCTCCAGTTTTTAGCTGAAGCCACTAAAGATCCAAGTCATGTTGATGCTCATGAGGTTAAGAAGTCTGTGTTAGCGAACATGCTTGGGGTGTCAGCACAAGGGGCTTTTATTAGGTCCCGATTTAAAAATGTGGCGGAAATGGATGTTCCATCACACTTTTTTTTTTTTTGGCCTTGAGCGAAAAAATGGTCAAAAGAGATTTATACATAGTTTGAGGTCTGACTCTGGACTTGTGCTGTCTGATCATGCTGCTATTCATAAGCATGCTGTCAGTTTTTACTCTGATTTGTATAAATGTGAACACCAAGAGGAGCAAATGTTGGCTCAGAGTTTTTATTCTAGTCTTCCCCAGGTTAATCAAGAAGATAATGAAATGCTGGAAGCGGATATTTCCCTGGGTGAACTGTATAGCCTTGCAGAGTATGCAGAGTAGGAAAACTCCTGGAATATATGGTCTTCCTGTTGATTTTTATACGTTTTTTTGGTTTGTAATTGGAGAAGATCTTCTTGCAGTACTTAAGGATAGCTTAGCCACTGGACGTCTGCCTCTAAGCTGCAGAAGGGCAGTTCTTACCAAAGAAAGGTGACCTGCAGCTCATAAAGAACTGGAGACCAGTGTCCCTTCTTTGTACCGATTATAAACTACTCTCCAAAGTCTTGGCAAGTAGACTTGGTAAGGTGATGGCACAAGTTGTTTGGCCTGATCAAACTTACTGCATCCCGGGTAGGCTGATCTATGTTAACATCGTTCTCATTCGAAATTTCCAAGCTTTTTGGTCTCAAAATTGGGATTGTTTCAATTGACCAGGAGAAAGCCTTCGACCGTGTTGAACACACATATTTATGGCAAACAATGTGCGCTTTTGGTTTTACTTCTGGTTTTATCAGTAAGATTAAGACTTTGTATGGTGATGCCCTGAGTGTGTTAAAAATCAATGGTGTTTTGAGCGCTCCTTTTCAGGTCCAACGGGGAATCAGACAGGGCTGTCCCCTATCTGGCATGTTATACTCCTTGGCTTTTGAACCCTTATTACTTAGACTTAGATCTGTTTTACAAGGTGTTATTTTACCAGGGTGCAATATACCGTTGAAATTATCTGCATATGCAGATGATTTGGTCATCATGGTGGATAATCAACAAGATATTGATATGCTGGCAAATGTTTTAGTTCAATTTGGCTTGATTTCTTCAGCCAGAGTAAACTGGAGCAAAAGTGAAGCTCTCAGGATAGGAGTGATGGAAAGAAATATTCAATTGCCAGTGGGTTTAAATTGGAAGACAGAGGGGGGGTTAAAGTACTTGGGTGTTTTTTTGGGTGAAGAAACTTTTGTTCTTAAAAACTGGGATAATGTTCTTGAAAGGACTAAAGGTTGTTTTGTCAGATGGAAGTGGATTTTACAAAAAAATATCATATCGAGGTCGAGTTCTTGTTATTAACAACTTGATTTCATCCACTCTATGGCATCGTCTAGCATGTGTTGACCCTCCTCCAGATTTGCTGCCAAAGATTCAGGCACTTCTGGTTGATTTCTTTTGGGATCGTCTGCATTGGACACCTCAAAGTGTGTTATTTTTGCCGAAGGATGAAGGAGGACAAGGGTTAATTCATTTGAATAGTAGAGGGGCGACTTTCCGCTTTCAGTTTGTGCAGAGGTTTCTCTGTGGTCCCACAGACCTGGTGTGGAGACCATTGGCATGCACTATTCTGAACCAGCTAGGTGGACTTGGCCTAAACAGAACTTTGTTTCTGATGGATTTAAAGCAGCTCAACACCAGTGGATTGCCAAGTTTCTACCGTGGACTGTTGAAAGTCTGGAATCTGTTTAAAACTGAGAGGACAGAACATCACACTTCACTGTATTGGCTTCTCCAAGAGCCAGTTGTGTATGGGACCCGTTTGAGTGCAACCTGACACCTAGGTCTAACAAAGGTGAATTGGGGAAAAAGTGAAGCCATTTTAGTTGGAAAATGGTCGGAGTCTGAGCCAAGGCTTCCTGATGGATTGAATTGGACCAGAAATGGTTTTAAATATTTAGGAGTTTTTTTGGGTGATGACAACTATGTAAAAAGGAATTTTGAAGGTATCATTGAAAAAGTCAAAGGGCGACTAGATAAGTGGAGGTTTCTGCTCCCAAAAACGACGCCGTTGTGAGCATTTATACAGTACTTCTGCGTTCAGGTCTTGGTTGCTCTGCATTACTGCTCCGAAACGCTAGTTGGCGGCGGAGGGTTTTAATGTTCCACTGTGTTGAGATTCCTCGTAGCTAGGTTACTACAAGCAATAGCGACTGAAAGAGAGCTAATCATGTTGGAGTTGGAGCTTATTAAGGTGGAAAAACAGTTAATTTTAGTGAAATTACAAAAACTGAAAGGCAGAAATGAGAGAAGACGTCGGAGGAGATGGTACGTGTGGAAATGCGTGAGGTACGTGCAGAAATGCGTAGGAGGAAATGTGATGCTACCAAGCCGACCAATCACCGAACTTGCGGTCCGCGTCGTTGCGACGTGTAGTTGCATTTTTGAAGAGGTGCGCGTCAGGCTACGGCGAAGGGTACGCGATATGGGACGCGTCTGTGCGTATGCTACGGCGTACCTACCGCGCGCACCCTACGCAGAAGTATAAATTGGCCATAACAAAAGCAGTTGAGAAATGGAGATCAGCCCTCACTGGAGAGGAAACTATTGGATTTATACTCGAAGGGATCTATTCATCCTGAATGTAAAGATTCTTTTTCCGTTCTGAGACTGTTACCCAGTTTAGGGGAGTGCAGTGGTGTACTGTTAGAGTGTGAAGAGCTCATAGTTGTGGGTCCAAACTCTGCACTGGGTAAAGACATGTATAAATGTTGTGTGAGGGCTTTTAACAAAACTTTTTTAAATAACAAATGTGACACTCCATGGCGTAAGGTTCTTAATCTTGATGTTAATGAAAAACCTGAATAGAGAGTATTATACAAATCATCATTGGTCAAGAAAACTGGAGACTTACAGTGGAGACTGTTACATGGTGCTATTCCTGTTAATGCTTCTATTTCTTTGATTAATTACTGAAGCTTGTCCATTTTGTTCACAAAAAGATTTTTCATGCGTATTTGCATTGTGACCGGTTACAACCTCTTTTTAATATCTTGGATATGTTTTTTTATTTCTTTTAATGTAACTTTTTCAATGAAAGTGTTTATTTGTGGTGTTAAAAATTGTTAAATTTCCTGTTGGGCTAAAATTTCCTCAAGCTAAAATGAAGGAGAAGGTGGAGCAGAATGTTTGTAGTAGTATAGAAGCTGTTTTTTTTTTTACTTTAGTTAAATCAAGAGTTTTAATTGACTATCATTACTACAGATTAATGCGCGATCTCTTAACTTTTGAAGCAATTTGGTGTTTAAACGGGGTCATTTGTGAATTTGTTGAAGAAGAGTTATATTTTCCTTTTTACGTAACATGTTCTTTTTTTCAGTGTTGTATTTATTTAATTTATTATTTTTGTTTTGATTTGTGACATGGGAATAATTGTAATAAAAAGGGTAATTTAAAAATAAATAAAAAAATCTCTCTCTCTCAGAAGAGAGGTAAAAGACTGGGGGAAGGGTTTACACCAGTTAATTTAATGTATGGGCCAAAATACAGTAGAAGTAGAAGGGAAGCTTATGTTTTAATTAACTTTTCATTTGGACAGGCAAAACTGGCTATGGTTGTCACGAAAAAATGTGTGATGTGTCAATTGATGTGGTGTCTATTTGAAAGGGCTATTTGTGTCTATTTGAAAGAAATCAATGTGTCTATTTGAAAGGGATCATTAAAATCTTATATTAAAATTGTGTCTATTCGACAGGGATCATTAAAATCTTATTAAAATGGAGTTAACATTACAAACTGGTCAATGAAATGGACATTTTTAAATACAAATGGGGAGTAAATCAATGCATCTCATTTTTTTTTTTTTAACTTTTTGTAAATAGATTTCTCTCTCTCTCTCACCATGGCCTCTTTGGTATGCATCTCCTCGGAGGCTGAGTCAGCAACTTTCTGGATGATGGGAGCGATATTAGTGGGACCATACAACTGGATTTTTGGGAGGCAGTTCTGATAAGCCTCAACAACACCTTGAATACCTGTAAAACACACATAACCAGTCAGGTCATCTCCAAAAACACACACACTTATTGTTAAATATCTTGAATTAAGCATAAAACTCACTAAATTGTGTTATTGTTTTTTATGCCAATTTATGACAAATTTATAAAATTTTCAATGGTATAAGAAAAAAACTATCACTGAATGGATGTCATATTGCTCATTTCTGACTATATGAAAATATACTGACTATATGAAAAAAAAAAAAAAAAAACCCAACATAACCATGGGGGTGGTGATGGCGCAGTGGATAAGACACATGCCTTTGGTGTGAGAGACCCGTGTCGAATCCACTGTGAGACACCAATGTGTCCCTGAGCAAGACACTTAACCCCTAGTTGGTCCAAAGGTGTGCGACCTTTGACATATATAGCAATTGAGTCGCTTTGTATAAAAACATCAGCTAAATGAAAAAATGTAAATGTAAATAACCTTTCACCTCAGACTTATGTGCAAAAGATTAAGTAAAATTCCCTACAATTTGCACAATAACAATCTGCCAGATATGCATGTTCCATAAATATCTGAAAGGCAGGGCGAGACGCAGAGGCGGGGCCGACAGGGCGAGGCACAGAGGTGGGGCCGGCAGGGCGAGGAGTCTGGGTACGCTCACCGGAGCCTGGCAAACCAAACGAATCCTCCTTCTCCTCCTGCGGCGGCGTCTCACTTGGCTCACTCGCTGGGCTTGATTCATTCACTTGACTTGAAGCAACACTGGACTGACTAGATTCAACATTGGATTCACTTGATTCACTCACTTGACTTGATTCAACACAGGACTCACTTGGCTCGGCACTTGACTCACTTGGCTTACTTGACTCACTTGATTCAGCACTTGACACACTGGACTCGGTACTTGACTCACTTGACTCAGCACTAGACACACTTGACTTGGAACTTGACTCACTTGATTCACTTGACTCGGTACTTGACTCATTTGATTCGGCACTTGACTCACTTGACTCGGCTGGCACGCACTCAGACTCAGTAGAAAACTCTTGAGGCAGGAATGCAACGGAGCTCATGTAAAGTGTTAGAACAACAGGATTCACATGTTGCGTGGATTCGGGGGACTCTTCACAAAGTGCTGGTTCAACTGGGCTTTCATGTAGCGCTAACTCGGCAGAGCACGTGTGAAGCGCTGGTTCACTGGGAGACTCTAGATGTGTGGATTCAGTGGGTACCTTGTAAAATGCCGAATCGTTCCCAGATAGCAAACTGACATTGAATCAACGTGGAAATATGACATCGAAACAACGTTGATCTGACATTGTTTTGCTCATCGAATTAACGTTGAACCAACGTCAGACGCGTCATTCTTTTAAAACTAACGGAAAATCAACTTGAAATCAACGCGTTGTTTCAACGTTATGAAAGCAAACCAATTTTCAATTTTCATTTAGCTTTGAAGAATGTCGCGTCTGACGTTGGTTCAACGTTAATTCGATGAGCAAAATCAACGTCGTTTCAAGGTCATGAGAGACGTCGACGTTTCCACGTTGGGTTCCACTGTCTGGGTTGGGTCCTCTGTGAAGTGAAAGTTCCAAAAAATCCACAGTAAAAAGCAAACCACTCATGGAAAAGGCCAGATCAATATTTTAGGAAACAGTCCAGCTTGGACTCGGAAACGGTATAGCAGAGCCGAGCAGTTCAGACAGTCCTCCCCGAAAGAACATCATTAAACAAAAATCATTCAAGTAGGACTGACGAGAGAGCTTCAAAAAAATCCATCACAAAAACCTTAAGAGGACGTTCTCCTTGGCGGAGGCTTACGATCTGTGCTGTTGGATCCATTACGAGGTCCGTGTTCCTCTCAGCCGCTGGATCAGTAGTGGCTCAGTATTCTGTCATGAAACTGCACATGGAACATGGACAGAGGTGATCCAAACGCAGGCTTTATTAAGAGGAGAATCCAGAGAGAGATACAGAGAAACATGCAGGGGTCAAAACCAGGTTAGCAGTCCAGCTCAGCAAACACACAATGCAGGGAATAGGCAAACAGGAAGACCAGAAACAGGCAGGGAGTCCAGAAACCGTGAAACTCGAAAACACTAGGAAACAAGAAAACCAGGAAAACCCTCGAAGCAGTCATACACCAACACAATACTGAGCCCCGAACAAAGGGAAAACTCAGGCTTAATCTAAAACAGGTGCAACCAATAAACCATAATAATCCAGGGTAAAACATGAATGAAACAATAAACTAGGAAGGAGTGCCCCGAGAGGCGCAAGCGGGCACTCCAGCCGCAGATCGTCACAGTTTGTAATGTTTGCCAAATTGGTAATGAAAGAGGAATCACTATCTTACCATTCAAATTTGGAAGCAAATATATGGACTGCCCAGCTCAATAGCACATTAGTACAGTAGTACTATAAATACATGTGTATTTATACAGTACGTTAATTTTATAGAAATGTGGTATGTATAAAACTGAAGATTCACAGTTGCAGTAGGAAGATATTTTTAAGAATGTGTGGTGGTGGTAGTGTTAGGGGAAGACATGATAGAGTGAGTACAAGAATTAACAAGCAACTGAGAATTTTCCGTTTAAATGTAATACGTTTTTATAAAAATAAATGTACTGTATGAAAAAAGGTTATTTTACTTTTTTTCTGTACAATGTGCAATAGTATTGACTTTTCCCACTATATTTTAGCTACAGTTGAAATCTTTTTCCAAAAATCTCAGTGTGTTACACAGACAAAACTTGTGTTGCGTCAACTGACACTGAGGGAATGCGACGTCTTGAAGTCTCTTGCTTCTGTGTCTTCCATCTCTGTCAATTTGTTGTTGAATTGTCTATATATCCACTTTTTTATGTTAAAGGAACACTCCGACTTTTTGGGACTTTAGCCTATTCACCTTACCCCCCAGAGTTAGATAAGTCCATACATACCTTTTTCATCTCCGTGCGTGCTATAAGTCTGTTTGACGCACCCACCGCTAGCCTAGCTTAGCACAAAGACTGGATGTGACTGGTTGCAGCTTTCATACTGATCCAAATGAGTGGCAAAATAACGCAAACGTTTTCCTATTTACATGTTGTGATTTGTATAGTCACATAATGTACAAATAACAAAGTCAAATGAGACACAGACATCTTTTAAACGTATAAAACCTGGGAACTATTCTCTGAAGGCGAAGCACTGCTACTTTGACGGCGTAATAACCGCATCACCGGAGACACGCCGTGGTGAGGAGCGGAGAGTTCGCTCGGTGTTTGGGTAATAGAGTCAGCAATTTATAAATAGTAAAAGCGTAGTTTAGAGTCATGGGTTTTCGCTCTATTGTAAATAGCTGCGACTGTAAACAGGGGAGGTAACCATGTTTCACAGAATTCCAACTAAATATGCTGACTGGATGAAGAAATGGCTAACTTACTCTGGATATTTATCCAAACACACCTAAGATTATCAAGGGACATTATGTTTGCTCGGTACATTTCAATGAGGACGACTATTTTGAAAAAATGGAATTTGCCACACGGACCATAATGTGCTGAAGGATACGGCTATCCCATCGATATAGCACAGACAGGACAAGTGGATCACCTGCGGCTGAGGTAAGTGTTCCGTTATGTTTTTAGATGACCTACTGTAACAGTGCCTTTAGCCAGATCTGATGTAACGTTAGTGACACTATTATATGATTAGGGTATGAATATGTTTTTATCTTGATGCGGTGCGGACGCGCTTGGGGAAAATAAACGAGCACGTTCACCGCGTTGAACTTGCACCCTGCGCGCGGCGCGCCTAGTAGCCTAAATTTGAAATAACCATGGAAATAACGAACTTGAGCGTGCAAAAGGGTACGATAGGCTGTGAGTTCATTGTGTAAAAACAATTTGTGCTATTACTTTCCCCTTATTCTATCCTATAGTAATGCAATACTGTATATTATATAGGCTAAATAGCCTACATTTGGTTCAGCTAATAAATTGCATTTAAAATATATTGATTCCTGTAATAATAATTATTTATTCATGTGATATTTATAAATCTGGGTGCGTTTTTGGTTGGAAATCAATGAAAATGGTACTGTATTACCTGGTCTCCCCTGTTTATTGTCACAGCTCATACAATAAAGCAAACACCCATGATAAACTATGCTTTTCTATCTAACGTTAGTAATTGCTGACTCTTTATTCCAACGCTGAGCGAAGCGAACTCTCTGCTCCTCGTCACGGTGCGTCTCAGGTGATTGTCATCACTCTGCCCAAGTAGCAGTGCTTCGCCTTCAGAAAATATAGTATTTATACGGTCAAAAGATGTCTGTGTCTCATATGGCCTTGATATTTGCACACTCTGTGACTATACAAACCACAACATGTAAATAGGAAAACGTTTGCGTTATTTTGTCACTCATTTGGATTAGTATGAAAGCTGCAACCATTCACATCCAGTCTTTGTGCTAAGCTAGGCTAGCGGTGGGTGCGTCAAACAGACTTATAGCACGCACGGAGATGAAAAAGGTATGTATGGACTTATCTAACTCTGGGGGGTAAGGTGAATAGGCTAAAGTCCCAAAAAGTCGGAGTGTTCCTTTAAAGACTATGGTGAGCAAGCAGCAGTTTAGAGTGCGTGTGCACCCATGCACACGGTATTTAATGAGTAGGGACACACATGACCTTTGTGTTGCTTATTTGGGTGAGGAGCATTCACAGTCAGCACTAGAGAGCACTGTGATGTGCTTCCTATGTGGATGCTCCAATGCTGCCTGGCGTTCTTTTGCGAGGACGCTCAGGCTCGCGTTCCCCATGGCTCCCCAGGGCTCTGGTCCTGCTGCTGCAGAGTCAACTTCAGTCCTGGGGTTTGCAAATGGATCTATCAACAGGGTTAAAGATGGGCCCAGTCTTATCTCTGCCTTCACCTGAGAGATCTAGTGCCTTCTCTCAGGGTTTGGAATCACGCGCTGCAGTTACTTCCGCCCTGAATCTACTTCCGGCACTGACACTGCAGCTATCTAGTTCTGAAGAAC